CACCCCCCGCACAGGGAACAATTTCTTCCTTAAATCCAACCTAAATCCACCCTCTCTCAGTTTATAACTGTTACTCCTTGTCCTATCCCCACCCCCCTGATCCAGAGTCCCTCCCCACCTCTCCTGTCCCCCCTTTAAGCCCTGGGAGGCCTCTCGAAGGTCCCCCCGGAGCCTTCTCTTCTCCAGGCTGAACCCCCCCTACTCTCTCAGCCCGGCCTCCCAGGGGAGCTGCTCCAGCCCCCCCAGCATCTCCGTGGCCTCCTCTGGCCCCGCCCGAGCAGCTCCGTGTTCTTCTGCTGTTGGGGGCCCCTGAGCTGGCCCCAGCACTGCAGGGGGGTCTCCCCAGAGCGGAGCAGAGGGGGAGAATCCCCTCCCTGGCCCTGCTGCCCCCCCTGCTCTGGCTGCAGCCCAGGGCACGGGTGGGTTCTGGGCTGTGAGCACACATTGCCAGGTCATGTTGAGCTTCTCTTCAACCAACACCCCCAGTCCCTCTCCGCAGGGCTGCTCTCCATCCACTCCTTGCCCAGCCTGTGTTTGTGCCTGGGATTGCCCCAACCCAAGGGCAGTATCTTGCACTTGGCCTTGTTGAACTTCAGTTCACTTCTAACATTCAAAAAAAATTCTAAATTTTTCTAAAATTTCTAAAAGACCTTGACAGTTTAGTCTGCTTAAATGACACAGGACACTTTGCAGAAAGGTTGCTTTTCAATTTAAAACTACACGTGAGCACTTTCTGAATTCAGAATAACTAGTGTGTTTAGTAGTTATTCTTACCAGTTAGTAGTTACTGTGCTTAGTGGGCAGGCCTCCCACTACCATTTCACGTGTGTGTCTTCCCAACACACACCCTCCAAAGCTCTGGGTCACAAGACATGAACATGGTGTATGTTGGGACCACTACCAGAAGCCAGCCAGAAACACTAAGGGGAAGAATTTCTTTAGTGAGTGGTATTTCCCATATTCCACCGCAACTTTTTTCTGATTACCATCTACCTTGTTTGGCAGAGGCAGGAACATCCCTTTGCCGACCAGGGTTTTGTTAAACATTCCTCTGCTGACCAGGCTTTTGTTAAACATTCCTCTGCTATATTTAGTGTCTAAAACCAATAGCTGTAAATGAGTTTTCCTCCTAAATTACCAAATTCCATAGCCATTGATCAGACACGCCATCTCCTGCCTCATCGTACCAGAGCTGCTATCAGCCTCTTCCTTATTGCCCGATCAACGTTTCTCCCTAATCACTCTTCCTTATTGTCTGATATCTGGTTCCTATTAAATATCTTTACTACCATTCAAACATGTGAATAACTTGTTTTAACATGCTTTATATGTCAGCTATATTTAAGGAATCGGGACTATACAAACAACATTAGAAAATACACAACAGATCTCAGCATTAACAATGTGGATTAAATGAGTTCATGGCATTCTCTCTTTCTTTTTTTTTTTTCTATTTTTTTTTAATCTATACCATCAGTACTGGTAACCCCACCTACTAAATCCGCAAGCACACACCTAGCACTGATAGAAAAGGAAAATAAACTAGAATACACTTTACAATCTCAGAGAAAGAGAAGATGGGGATGGTATCACAGATTCATAAAGAAAAGCAGTATTTCACCATTGTAACCGTGGAATCTGGTTTTGTAATAATAATTGTTTGTGCTGCTGACTTCCTTCAACACCTGTGACCCTGCTTGTGACGGCCTCATTGCCTGCTGGAAACTTGGCAAAAGACAAGAGAGGAGATATTAGGGAACCAATGCTACATCCTGAGAGAGGCCATAAAGTCCAAAGGTTGAACAGAATTGCCAGGAGCAGCTTGATAAATGAAGGAAGTATGTGGCTCTGGAGACAAACTGCTGGGCCCAAGTACAGTATGATCAAACTCTGCGAGCTGCACCTCAATGTCTTGCACGCTTGGAAGAGCACACTATCCAGGGACTTTTCCCAAGTAGTCCCCTTGAAAAAGAATTATTTTAAGTCCCTTTCTGAAATGAGTATGTGACCACTCGGTGCACTGCACATGCCAGAATTTCACAGATCTTAAATTTGAAAAACACTCCTCTTTATTTTCACAAATTAAGCTAGGATGATTTGTTGATTTAATAAAAAGAAAAAAACCCATGTAAAACCCCTTCTGAATTAGCATATTCAAGCGTTTCCAAAATCTGGCTCCAGTAAAGAACTTGTCCTTAAAAATCTATCAGACTGTAACTAAGCTTTTAACTTGGCATGTGAAATAAATAAGCCAATAATCAGATCCTTCGGAAATTTCCAATTAAACCTGTAAATATATCTAATAAAATATTCAGCATTTGAAGAGTTTTTATTCAGGACGAGAGTACAGCAGCTTCGGTTTCACGTTAGGAAGAGCATGGGGCATTAATAACTAAGGCTTTTTTCCTCCTCTTTCCTATCCACCATTCACTCAGTTATACTAGCACAACTTTTTGTGAAGCCACACTGTAAATCCGAGCAGAAAACTCTTTTCTGGGTTTCAGAACAAATCAAACCAAGAACACAGCATGGACCCCACAAGGAACTGAGCGAGCACAAGCGAAGAGGCAGCGCGGGAATGGCAGCCAGGGGAAGGAGGAAAAAGAACGTGAATTGCTTGGAGCTCATATTGCTGCTGAGCACTTTCTATTATAAAACCATAACCTAATATGCTTTCAAGACTACAGCTCCGAACTGCTTCACACGGTGCACCTCCTTCCCTCCGCAGGACCCTACAGGGATCTATACTGTTGTGGAAATGTGCCTGCATGGAGAGGCTTGCAGGCTCAGACGCTGCGCTCCATTATACTTTGCATTATTCACTAAACGAGACGATAACCCCAGCAGTGCTTGTAAACACAACGGCTTCCTTGAGAAGCAACAGCAAAAAAATCCATAAGCAAGGCTCTCCTTGTAAGTAAAATGCCTGACTTGGGAGGGCTGTCCTCCCTGGGGAGCTCAGCTGTGGGAAGCGGGAGCAAGGAACTGCCTTTTTAGGACTGTGGCTGAGCAGAGCTGGGAAGTGCTGAGGCAGGACCAGGGCTCCCGCAGCAGCTCGCTGGCCTTATAAGGAGAAAGCCAGGTATTTCCCCAGCCCCGTAACCGGGAGCTGCACAGCCAGTGCAGCGAGGTACGGCGAGGCAGGGCTCCCCTGCGAGGCCGGGCCCGCCACCAGCCAGGGGACACTCGGCCCCAGCCACACTCCTCCTCAGAGCAGATCTACAGCCCCGGTGGCTCCAGCCTCTGAGCATTTCAAATAGGCCTTATTAGGAAGCAGGGAAGCTTAATTATTTGAAAGCTCGTTTTCAGATCTGTAAAGCCAGATGGTTTGTGGGTGAACCGTACTTGATTTTAATGTGACATTTTAAGGCACACAAGGCAACATGTTGGAGCACGAGTCTCTAATGTCAGGCATCTTTTTAGCTACCTACATAAGAGGTGATGAGCAACTAGAGTTTCTGAAGACTTTAACAGAAGGGGCAGGATGCTCAAAGTCTCAGACACTCAGCAATTTGTTTAAGCAAGCTTTAGGAGCACACATGATTAAGACTCCTCCCAGGTTGCCTAAAAATTAAGGCTGCTTGAGAGAAAAGCAAAAAGATTTTGGTTTCATTCAATTTAAGTCACATTTCTTTTTATTACCTGCTTTATTTTTCTAGGGAGTAAAAGAACCTAAACCACTTCAGGCCAAATCCATCTGTATAGGGTACATGTGTAAGCACCCCCTCCTGAGCATGAACCGTCCCATATTATTGCTCTTTACTTTCCTGACTCTAGTTTTTAGAAGTAAATAGGGGGCTGTGAGTAAAATAGGAAAAAAATGTTTTTAAATCTTTCTCAGAAAATGGCAACGAAAATGGAGTGTCTTTGAATATTTTTCTTCGGCCAAAAAAAAAAAGAGGAATTTTCCCCTAGATATGTTTAAAAAAAATAATTTACAGTGTAACATTAAAATGAGACATCATACAGCACCCCAGTTCTGAATATGAAATGGCATATTGAAATTCAAAGAATCACCCACACATTTTGCCATCTTTGTTTCTTGAGGTTAAACTTTGATAACTGCCAGCCCTGAGATGCTGAATAGTATACGTTTACCTGAAAGCAGCAGCTTTTAACCTAGATATATGAGAATGGCTTGATAGTTTTGATCCGTACTACATTTTAAATCCACAGGCAAGTGTCTGCTCTCCATCACGAACTACGGCCTTCACTAGTGCCTTCAGGTAATAATCGCAGCAGGAAGACCAAAACTTTGATTAATTTTGCCACATCCCACTTGCAACATATTGGAAAGAAAACATGGGGGAAGTACTAATTACCTGTGGATAATCACAGGGCATCCATTTCTAGGATTCCTTGTGAGAAGCCCATCAGGAGAAACGAGGCCACAGACAATGTGAAAAATTACATTAAGCAACTGGAAAATATCTAGATATGTGACAATCTTATTCAGTACAAGCTCAGACATTGCATAGGACTTTCTCCAATTGTTGATTGGGCTGGGATTACATTTCTATTGCTCCAAAGGAGCACTAGGGTAAGATTATTTTCATAAAAGGAATAAAAGTTTTGACACCAGGTTTCATATTGTAAATTTCTCCTTTAAAATAACTTGCTTGCCAAAGCAGTTCAGCTGCCAGAAAGGGAGAAAAACAGGCAAACTATTCCCTTAAAAGCAATGACTGTGCTATGCTGCTCAGGTACACGAGGCATCGCTCCAGAACTAGGGAACGTTGGCTCATTAGGAGCAATTAAAAAAAAACTCTGAGGGGATTTTAAAAACAACAACTTCCAAAAACAAAACATGCATATATACCACATGCATTTGTTTATGCAGCTGTAATGAGTGATGAAATCCATTTATGAGCTGAAGTCACAAGATTCTAAGCAGGTCTTTGTTTAATCTCAGTAAGTCATGACATTTCCCTACTACTTATAATAATGTGATTTGGATCAACATTTTCAAACTTATGCACCTGGGTTTTGACAGTGCTTACCAATTGCACTTCTCATCTGCTTTGCTGGAGACTGAACAGTCTACTTCTGATCCACTGCTTTGATTAAGCAACCTAAAGACAGATACAGAAACCTTTGTTTAGTTTAACATAGGGTTGTAATTCTTGAATTCAGCATATATTCTGCAATTCTTACTCAAACTGAGACTCTGTGCAACCTGTAAAGAGTGTAAATAAAAATCAATGAGACCATTAGAGGAATGAATACTTACAGCATCAGCCCTTCTATAACCACAGTCTACCCAGATAGATGCCCTTAAAAGACTTAAGAAGGTTTGCTATAGACTTTTGTTCCAGCATGTTGCTGTGACTTGGAAGAACAAAATGAAGATAAATGCAGCTGTTTGCTGCTTACATTAATGCAGCATTAGTGCCCTGAGTAACAAAGGTAGGACAGAGTATGCGGGGAAAAAAAAGATTCAGCACAAATAACTATTAAGTTACATGTGTTTTCTGTATTTATAAACTGCACTGGGCTTTAGATGTATTATTACATAGCTTTTACAGTACACGAATCAGTAATGGTGCATATAAATCAAGAACACATTTTTAGCTTTGTTATTAAGGAGAAAAAAAAAGGAAATAAACAAGGTATTTGCCACTGCTGCTCTTGCCCTTACACTTCTATTAGCTTTTCAAACAGATCTGATGTTTTGTGAGGATCAGATCAAAACTAAATGAATCTAGGCCTGTTCTTAACATAAATACAGTGACACTTTGTATTTATTTTAAGAATGGAAAAACTTTAGTCTCCTCATCTGAACAAAAAGTCAATCTACCTAATGCACAAGAGCAGGACATCCCAGACATAGAAAAAATTCTCTTAGCCTTTCAGGTCTGAAGGAAAGTGTTGCTGTCTACACCTGTTCTCCATTCTCCTTCTCAGGTTTGGCTCATTCATCTACTGGTCTCCAGGGTCCAAAATGAGCCCGGAGAACAGGTGGATTTTACAGCATGTCACCGAATCAAGATGGCAGAAGGATACAAGGAAAATGCAATGATCTTTCACCTGGAACATTTTGGACCAAGCAACCTCTTGTTTATATGCAAAATAATAAAGCCCGAGACAATTTCTTCAGCGGCTTGGACCCAAATTCGGGAAGGCTCTTAAAAGGCCAAAGCCAAATATGCATAACCAGAAAAGTCAATGTATCATCTAACTGGCACAAACAGAGCATGTTCCTATACCTTCTATTTTTAAGAATTATTTTTGTTGATGTAGGAAAATACTATGCAGTATCGCCAGTGTCTTTACAGATGTGAAAAAAAGTCCTAAAATGATCATCAACATGAGGCAGCCAGGGAAGCACTGGAATTCCTGAGATGGAAAGTAGGACTTTTTCTGCCATTTTCAGATACACGCACCTATTGGATGTGTTTTTATGTTGCACACAAGTACTACATGGCCTTGGGAAGAGAGACAACATTCTCCGTAGGACAGTATAAACACTTTGTTGCCTTCCATCTTCTTAGGATGGGTACATCACTCAAGTATAGAAGTCACACAATAAATACAAGCCATAGCAAACAACAATCTGTAAAATTCTTAATGCCACATCGATTTATATATGCCAGATATACTACTGGGAAAATAACCTCAGATGCAATCTTCATACCTAAATTTTAAATCTATAGGGATTATATTTTATGTTCTCCCATTTCCAGAATCCTGTTCAGTTATTTTCCTTTAGGTTTTTGAGATCTACTATACCGATGGGCCAGAAAGAAAATGACTGTAACTACTGAAGTCAGAGTAACAACTGAAAAAAACGTATCAGTAGAAAACATTATTTAATATGCTAGTCCACATGAACTAAACCCAGCTGAAAAGCTCTGAAAAGGCACATTAAAGAAAATAACTGTGGGAGCATTAAATAAACAGTTCCCTTACTGGATCTGCTATAACCGACTAAAACCTTTCTTTCCCTTTCCACATTAAAGGAGAGCCCTAAAACCACATTTTGCATATTTTATTAGTTCAAACCTTTTCTAACATGGTTCCCAGGGCAGACCAAGTCCAGCAAACTCTTAAAAATGCATCTAACATTGTTCTAAAATAACAGTATTAGAATCTGGTGGGGTGTGAACAACAGGACTATCAATAAATGTCTACTCTTATTCCCAGACCCAGAATGGAATTCTAAACAATTTTTAGCCCTTAGATTCACAGTGTATTGAACGTGAACTTGCACACCAGCTTTACTAATCAATGTTACCCATCTCATGCCTCTGACTGCTTTCATCAGAGAGAAAAATTGCCCATTTGGAGGAAGAAAAACACTTTTGTGACTGTTTTAAAAATCGTAGTTGAAAGTTTCTCGAAAGGTCAGTAAGCTAGGAGTTATCCTGCTAGGAACAGATTAGCAGGCAGAGGGTCAGCAAGGTGGTCAGGGGTGTATGGGAAGTATAATCTATCAGATTGATAGCACCACTATGTATATGGTACAATTATATCTTATCTTCCCAGCCTTGCAACCAAAATAAACCACACTGAAGTCTTGGAGTCTGATTCTGTTGTCTTTAAGTACACACCCCTTAGGGTGGCGACCCAGGACACACCACACATCTTTTACTTCATGTAAGACAAAATCAAAACAAATATAATCAGTATTTTTCCTTTTAGGACTCTCACTGAGACTCTTTGATGTGTTTTCCCTAATCGTTTTCTCTTTTTAATCATCACACTCAGGGGTTTCTCTAAGCCTATAATGGTCTAGTTTTTATGTAACCTTTTTATGTAAGCCTTCCCAAGCTCCCAACACAGCAACTGCTGTAACAGTACACAGCAACACTACACCAAAGAATACCTTGTCCAAATGAAACCAAAAGGGAAATTTAGATGAGTACATTCTGCTTAGGTTGGAATTTTGGCTCAGACACAAGAGTTAACACTCCTGGTCTTGCAAAAAGCAGCTCTAATGGAGATACTGAAAATGAAAGTACCTCTACTACTTCAAAGCTGAAAATCTGGCCACTTCTGTAACACGTTTTTCTGCTCTGGGAAATTTCACTTATCTATACCCATTCATGAAGGGGAAATCCTTGGTCCTACAAGTTAGCTGTGGGTCTGCCATTCACTTGACTAGACTTGAGACTCCACCAGTACGATTTAGTACCCGTGATACAAAGCTAGTTAAATTTCTAATTTCTATACAGCTGTCTGCCAATTTTTCTTTTTCTTCGGAGCAATTATTCACATTTACATTTTATCTTGATTTTCTTTAGCAATATCCCTATTTTCACAGAGAAACTTTAAACAGATTACCACATTCTTTTCAGTGTTACCTAAGAGGTGCGTTGGTCTACTAAAGTTCTAAAAGTTTCCAGATCCACTATTAATAAAATGCCTAAACTTAAAATAGGCACTACGCAAAACTCGCATAACTGGAACACCTATAAAATGCCCTGTAAACAGCTGCCCTACATCTGAGCTGCCAGGCGATTCAGGAGGTTCTAGAGTTAATTTCCATTTATCGGCTAAGATTTACTGATACCGCTGGTACTCATTTCTGTTGTTCTCTGTTATGCTCTGTCAAGACACTGCACACGGAGGAAGCAGGAGCTAAGACAAGACCTGGAAACATTTCCTTCACGTGGGAAGGTGCCCTGCTAAGAAACTGCTTATTGAACCTGACAGCGAGCATATAAACAACGTTAGAGGGAGTGCTCACACATGTACTCCCAATAAAGGGGAGGACAAGGCGGTGAAAGTCAGAGCTATTACAAGACAAATACAAATTAAAGACACTGTTTTTAATCTCTAGGATACTAAAATATTTTTGAGAGCTCCCAATGTTTGAGGGAGGAGGGAGAAAGGGAGAGAAGGGGGTGGGGGGAGAAGTAAGCTCTATTGAGATTTTTTATGGTTTGTATCACCTTTTGTGGGACAATCATTCTAGAAAAAAGCAACAGAGGATTTTGAAACTAACATAGAAGCACTTGCTAAAAGGTAGCCTGCTCTTTGTACAACTCCCCATGAGGCCTGAAAAAGTACCCTGGGAATGTACTTTACCAGACAGCTTTGCATATGAAATACTGTTTGTTTCAAAAACAGTTGTGTATTTTTTTACCTGGGGGGTTATTCTTATCAATTGTCTCGATTACTGATCTATGAGAAGCAAAAAAAGGAGTCAGAGCTACCACAAAGATACAAGCATAACAATTAAAGTTCATGGGATTTTTGACATTTCCCCTCCTTACTCCAAAACTTTAACTCTTGAGTGAATGCTGCCATATATATTTCCTTTGTTTGGCTGCCTGGTGGGCCACCTGGAAAGCATCAGCACTCTAAGAAGAAAACTGTTATTGTTTATTCGGAATTTCCTTAAAACAAAATCTTGATGTCCATTATCATTTCCCAGAAAGGTATATTGTTCTATCACCACCCATATCAAGTGCAGAGACATGTTTATGGTACGTGCAGCAGCTCAGATAGGCTGGGCTGTTGCAATCCTGTTGCAATCCTGTGCAGAAAACAGAATGTTAACACTGGCATGCTGCTCCCACGCCCTCCCCTTTTCAGGCTTTACATTTAACTCAGTGACACCCTGCTAGGCACAAGGTTTATTTACACAACACAAAGTCTTGAGACAAGCCTTTGTTCCACTGCAACCTTGACAAGGTTTACGAAGTACTACAGACTACAGTAAAGGTGTATTAAGAATCATCTGAGGACCTCGTATGAATGAAATGTTTTGAAACTCGCTTGATTGAGTTTCCAGCTGCAACACAATTCTCCTCTAGCCAGAAGCTGTCGGGACAAACTAGCGAAGCTCCTGGCTTTCACAGAGACCAGTGAATTGCACTAACACGGTCGTTCCACAAGGACTTTAATCCGGGATATGCTGGTGACACCCTGAAAAGAAACAAATGCCTCTCTCCCCAGCCATTCAGGTTTTTTGCTGGGATAGATTTGAACGGGATGTATTTCCCAACACACTTCACCTCATGGCTGTGTCAGCGCCAGGGAGGGGACAGCGTGGGAGCAGGAAGAGGGCAGGACTGCCTCTTTTGTCAGCAGTGCCGGCCAAAAGCACTTCGGGAACCAAGGACGTTGTAAATTGTGCTGATTTACATCTGCTAAAAAGCACTCCTTCGTTTTCCTTAAAAATGATTGCTAAACTTACAGCATTTTAAAACGTAACGTACATGTAAAAACAGGCAAGAAAGCTTAGGTGCAGATTTCTTGGGTGGAAGTGTCCAAGGGGGCTGTAAACTTCACCTCCCCAGGACTAGCAATACCCACCGCTGCAAGGAGGGAGTGGTTGTTGCACTCACCCTCTTCCCCAAGGGGTGTATAATGCAGAAGAGTTCCTGCCTTTCACATGATCATCTACTTGTCAAAGTTTTGGACTAAGTATCAAGGCTTTGTCTTTAAAGAAACTATCTGTGTGAATCTGGAGAAGCTGACATGTAATACTTCCTCCTACACAGGATTTTTGACATTAACAACTCCAAATCATCATCAGAGCCTCAGAGCAGAGACTGTAAAGGTAAACTAAAAAAAAAAAAAAAAACAAAAAACAACAAAACCCCTCAAAAAAAGCAGACCCACAGCAACTAGAAGATATTTGGTCAAAATGTCAGAGAGCAACCAGAGAGTGAAAATGGCATAAATCTAAGTGCCAGTATATGCTCTACACAGTCCTGGGTCAGATTCAAAATGCATTACAAGGCTGATGAACCAATTAAAATGTCAGTGGTTGATACCCTAAAAGCAAATGGGGCCAGCAACAAATCTTTCATACTAATAAGTTAATCCTAGATCTTCTTCTAGATGAAATTCCTAAAAATAGTTCATACCTCTTGTATGCCATTTATTCCCTATAGATCTGCATGCTTTACCAGAACTTCAGTCTCATTATGCCCATTTTACAGGCAGGGAGACCAAGCAACAGAGATGCAAAAAGTGATTAAGGGTCGTTCAGCGGGGAGGCAAAACCAGGGAAGACTGCAGTTCTATCCCATTTAAGTTTATTCTGTTCTCCTGTTTTTCTCTACTGGTATACAGAAAATAAGACTAATGTAACCTCGTGAGTTTAGTGAGAAGTAAAGAGGTGAACAAATTTTTGCTTCACTTTGTAAATTCTCTTGGTTGTCTTGAAGGGATATATATTCCCTACCACTACTGCCACAGGGTTAGGTAAATACTTAGACCAATAATATAAATGTGAAATATACCACTGTTCTTATTAATATTTATGTAATAATCTAGGGCTGAAATTGGCTATCATTGAATTGACCTCAGATCTTTGACATAAATGCCTATTTGAAGCACCTGGCAATAGGCTGTAAGCATCCACACCCAGAACTGCTTTGTCTGGGCTTGCAGTTTTGCCAACCACACACCTTTTCCTATACTGACTGTAAGGAACGCAATAACTGGAAAACATCAGCACAAAACATGCTTATATAGAACAAGGCTACGTTGTACCATTAGCTCTCACAACACGCGTGCTTAACCTCTCTCACATGACTTACCTGAGTCCACAGCCCATTCTTAACTGAACAGAAGCCTCTGCAAAAATGTGCACAGTGCAGCTGGTACCCAGATTTCTAAATACCATACAGCCATTTTTGGAAAGTCTTTCTAGTTGTGGTCCCTAAAAAAAAAAAAAAAAAAAAAAAAGTAAAAATAAAAAAAAAAAATGAATTTCAATTAGCAGCCATCACAGCCCTTAAGCCTTTGCTTTATTATTATCCTTTTATCCTAAAAATTTTCCTTGATCTCACAAACTTGTTTCTAATATATTCAAATGTTATGGCTTTTTATACGTTTCATATGTTCTCAACAGACTGTGTAAACAGCCCTGTGAGCTGACCAACACATCTGCCAAATGCACTGCTGGCTGTTCAGGCAGTACTTCATCGAGCACACATGTGAGCAGAGCTCCTGAACCCATTTTAAAAAAACAAGATTCCACGTAAGGATCAATACTGATTCTGGACAAAATTTTCCATCTCTGCTTCCTTCTGAAACAAGGGAACATATAGACACTGCAGTGTTGGCAACTGCATATAATTTTTACCAAAGAAAAGAGGAAAGAACAGCAATTTTGAGTATCCTGGTTCTTCTCCTGTGGAAGTCCTAAGGGGCTGCTGTGGACAAGACCAAGACCAAGACATTCCCATCCTGTGAGGGGATGGGGCTGCCCAGATGAGTGGGGAGCAGCTACGCAGTCGCTGTGGGATACGCCAGCTGTGATCAGAGAACAGGCTGTTTATTATTAATCAGCTGGAATTGAGGAAGAGCAACAGTTTAGTAGCATCTTCTCCCAAACTGAAGCCTTTAACTCTGCTTGTGTTTTCAGGTATTGTCCTACCCAGGCCGTGCCCTTTCCTCCCGACAATGCCTTCCTTGGTTATTTGGCAACCCTCACTGCTCCCACACCATGACTCCAACACAAATGACTGTCATCCAGAGTGAATGTTTCCATTTGAATTACATGAGCAGGCACTCTGTAAACTTCCCCACAGGCTCTGCCACTATAATCCCTGGGAAGGAGCAACCTGCAGGACCTACTTTCACTGTTCAATGCTTTCTCTGTTTATTGCTACTACTGTCAGAAACATTACTTGAATTCAGACAGGTGTCCTTACATCTGTCAGCCACCAACCACTGGTGACATTCAGTAACAGAAATTCCATGTCCAAGCCCGAACCCACAGCACAGAGAAAGAAAGCTTGTTTGCTCACTGGAAATCCCTAAACTCTATGGTGCTTTACACAAGGCATTTTTGGTCTCATGCAGACTCGCTTCCTTTCCTTCTCCTGTTGCAAGCACTCCTTTATCCCAGGTTGCCAGGAGCCTACTGTTCCAACAGCTGCTAAGACAGAGTGAGGTGTCAGCTTTGACAGGATGCCAGATTGTTTATTAATTAAAAATCCAAGCATTTTGTATCCGTTCTGAGACCCTAATCAAAACTGAGCTATTTTGCCAAGGGCTCTGTATGGTTAAATCCAGTTATTCTGAGCCTTTCAGTCACAACTGACAACCATAAATCTATGCATTTTGCTGCCACTACTCACATGAATACGTGTTTGTTGAAACATCAAAATGCCAGAAAGCTAACTTCAGTTCTCCACAGTGAAACCACACCTCGGTAATATCTGAACAAATGCATGCTTCCAGCGGGATCTTTGTCCCCAAACACAGTACAGATCTTTCCAAAGGTGTTCACCTGCCTCCCCACCACTCAGCATTAGCATGCTTTTATTTGTATGGTAAATTTTTTCATGCTGCCAGCTCACAGTGCTGAGCGCACCCGTCTGCTTCCCATATGCCACCCGTCCTCCAGTGCCTCCTCTACTGCTTACCTTCCCTCTTTGGGCTCCCACTGCGGATCAGCTGCTATTCTGCCAGACTTCTTTGTGTGTAGAGGATTTTTCTGACTGTAAGCTCCACAGGACAGGAACTTTGCCCAACTCTCTATTTCTCAGAGCACCGGCTATGCTATGGTACAGAAATAATGAACAGAGCCATTAATGGTGTGACATTTAGATTTGTAACATCCTAAAAAGCATGGGAAGCAAGGCCCCAGGGTTCTTTTTAGACTCATCTCTACACAATGTAGTTAACGTCTATTTGGTTAATTCTTTGATCAAAAATTATAAAATACATAGTTGTTTGAATAATAATAAAAAAAAATATATATATAGTCCATTACTTATTTGAAAATACATTTCTGAGCACTTGCAATGACCACTGAAATCCTCTATAAAGCTAGCTGAGAATGGGAAAAAGTAGTGAGAAATCTAGTATAACTATTAGGTAAAGAGGAGATCATCCTATCCACTTCAGAGACAATCATCATATCAAATCTTCCATTCATATGTTGCTGCCCATAAACACCCAGGGTTTGAATTGCTCAGGCAGCATTCTTAAGAAAATGGAAAATGTTTTTAGTGGTTCCTCCCTTACTTCTGCAGTCTTTCTCTGTGTTTACAGTCAGTGTTGCTGTCCTGCCCCAGAGGTAACCCAACAGGTCTTGCAGTCTCCTAACTTTGCCCCACCTCCATCATTCACAAACTTGCCTCTCTAACCTATTCATTTTCCTCCATTCCACAAACTATTAGTTTCAAAGAAATTCAGAGATTAATTAAAATGATTGGTGAGATGAGTAGGTGAGGGGGACAGGCTAAAGGGCTTGACAAGAAGAAAGATGAAAAGGACTAAATGCGTATAGCTTGGTTATGCGATGACTAATTGAGGGTGGAGGAGATGGACACGATATTCGTTTACAAGTGCTATAGTTCTGAGAAGCACTTTTCATGTGCAAACTGAAGACTAGCGCAAGACTAGTTTTCGATCTTCTAGAATAGATTTGGTTGCAGGGTCCTTCACTTCAAGCTGGGAGTCTCACTCTTCTCGCAGCCCATGCATTCCCACCCCTCCCTTGGATCCTCAGTTTGTTGTTTTTTTTTTTTTAATTTCAGCTCAGCTTTCAGCCAGATTCAGTTCCTGGATCTCTACCTGGCCACATGAGCCCTACTGGGAGCAAAGAGCAAAAGGAGAGGCCATGGGAGCTGGGGGTGGATGAGGTCGCACCTCTTTGCCACACCTCTGCTACGCGGCAGACTTAGGTGGACTTGAACCGACTACGAAAACACACCTTGAGGAGCCAGGGAGGAATTAGGAACAGGAGCACCTATGAATTATTTTACTTCCACTTAGCCTAAGGAAATTCAGTTCCTTGTGCCCTCTCACTCTCAGCATCTTTTACTATGTTCTGATGTAGTGAATAAAAGAAAAAATATTTGCTCCTTCTTCTGACTCTTGAAACTCTTGTCTCCCTCAGTTGGGGAAACTTGCTCTAAAGTAATTCCTTAAGCAAGTGAAAAGCAGTATGAGAATGAAAAGATTCAGTAATCCACACTCCTATTCACTTCACACAGAGGTGTGGCAGGATATCACATCTGAAAGCATGGAGTAAAAAACAAGCAAAACAGAAAAAGTCTATATAATAAAATTAATTTTCTGTAAAACAAAAATATTGTAGAAACATCTCTGATGAGGGGAAAAAGCAAGATGGTATGATATATCTAAGTTTAAAGAAAATCTGTCTGGAAACAAGCACTTTCTGTAAGCACTGTTTCCAATATAAAAGAGCAGAAACTGTCATTTCTCTTTTTTTGCTTGTTTGTTTTTTTTCAAATGGTCTAGAAATAAGCCAAAAGCATTTGTGATATAGGAGTAAAACAAAACAACGAACCCATCTATTCCTGGACACCAAATATAATTTAGATGGATGTGGTATGTGCAAGAAATTTTAATTTGTCCCTGAAAAGCCATTTAATTATTCAGATTATCTGACTGCCTCAGTCAGTCTTGTATTGATTGGAGAACTTTATAAATCAAAATCTGCATTACTGCTGCTCAAAGCATCTGCCCCTCTCAGCAACAGAGATATATAGTTCATTTCCAGTCCCTACCCACAAGTTAGTTTATTGAGACATGTAAATGGCTATGGTTTATAAATGGGTCAGTAAGTGTTCTTGCATACTACTAGAGGGATATTTACTTAAGGACATCAGGAAAGGGGGAAAAAAGCCCTAAAGTAATAGCTGTTTAATAAATCAGGGCATAGCCACCAAAATCCCCAGCTCCTTGGCTAATGGCCACGAAGGATCACCACTGGCTCTCTATTCACAGGCCCACTTCTGATGTGCAGCACCCGGCGAGTCTCAGCTGGTGAACTTGGGGCACTCGGCTGAAATCAAAGCTGAGACCCCCGTAAGCACCCGCTTACCAGGCAGTCCTGAACTAGGTAGAAAATCCCCTCGGAGTAGCAAAGAGCATTTGTCTGATTTCAGAGCTCTCCTGCTATGCACAACCTTTATGACCAGCTTGACTCTCTACTGCCAGCCTCGACCAAATAACCTCGAAGTGAGTAGTAATTAACATAATGAGTGGACTGATGGGTGTCCCCCATAGCTACCGGCCTCAGCAGCAACATGTCTCTGGCAAACTGGAATGTCTAGTCCTGAAACTCCACCTCTGTAAAAGGAAGGAAGTAGAAGACTAAAATGGGTGGAGGGTTAAAAAAAAAAAAAAAAAATTACTTTAAATGAAACCCTCCAGCCTGATCCAACACTCACTGAACCTAATGAAAACTTGCATTGATATCAGTGGAGCTGAACTGGACAGACTATAAAGGCACCGTTTTTCAGGTTATACAAATATGTATTAGAGTGGTTAAAGCTACACTGACTATGTTCCTTGTAGTCTGAACTTGGCTTTCTAGGACAAAAAAAAGATGTAGAAAAAAAACTAAAAAGATAAAACAAGACAGCAAAAGTTGAACAAATTATATATGCCAATTAATCAGAACAAACTGCATGAGTATTATATGTGTATACAGAAAACTGACTGAAGCAAATTATTTGCATGGCTTACTATCTAAGAGAAATTGGGAGAAACCCCACCTTTTAAGCTGAATTTAAAAATAATTCTTATTCCACAATAAAAAACTCCACACAGCAAACTACTTAAAATTCACGTCTTAGATTTCTCCAGAATTTCTTCCTTGCATAGACAAGCCCTTTGTAAACATCAAAACTGCATGCTGACACAACAGAGACAGATCATTTATGGACTGTCTCAGGGGAGTTTTAACGCAGCAAGGACTGCCACGGCAGGTCCAACGAGACACCCTATCTCTGGCAGGAGCCGAGAGCGGGTACCTGGAGAGGCACACGAAACCAGGGCACGCACACAGCAGTTTTGCCCTGGGATGCTCTCCCAGGCACAAGCCATTTCCAGCTTTGGGATTTCCAGAGCCAGAAATGCACTGCATTCAATAGCCCTTAAGTGATTTCTCTTCTGTGAATTCATCTAATCACTTTAAAATCCACGCAGCACTCTTGCCAAGGAGTTCCACTGCTTAACTACAGTTCTATGAAGACATTTCTCTGGTTCATTCTGAACCTGCCAGTTTCATTTGATGCCCCTTGGCTCTTGTGCCAGAAGAGTCAGTCAGTGGCCTCTATTTATCTTGTACGTAAAGATTAAAAAGGAGTTAAACAACTGCTTCAAGCATTCACTGCATTAATGAATTTCAGAGATTTTCTTATGCATATGCAGTAACTTACTGCTGTTTGGCTAAACTATTTGCAGTTTACTTTGAGTGACCTGCAACACAGCCAGATGCTGCCTACGTGAAGGTTGTGTCTATGCCAACAGCACAAAGGTGAGCCCCCCCGTTCCCGGACAAAACTGTATTTCATGTCATGGACTGCTCACACAACTGCTTCAAGCAAGTGCATGTATTATTTGCATAATTCCAGTTAGCATACAAAGTAACACCAGTGCCCACCATGTGGTCAAATGAACATAGTGGCTGAGGGCAGGTGGGAACACCTGGGGAAGACAGAAGGGAAAAAAACAAAAAAAAACAAAAAAAAACAAACAAACTTCAAACAGGGGATCTAGACCTTCACTTTTCTTTCACAGCTGCTTGTGTTGCTGTTTGCTTCATTGTTGCTTCCTATACTGTAACTGGTAATTATGTCATTATGTCTAGGAAAAAATAGCACTGGAGAATCTGAAAGTGTATTTTCAAACCTAGACATAAGTTTGTCAGCTTCACATACCATAAAAAGGGATTGGACCTGACAGACCCAGTTCTCCGCTGACATAAAAAGCTGGACCACCCTACAGCAGCAGGTATCGGCTTTATGTCGTGAGAGTAAGGAACACTTGTTGCACTGTTGGCAGCGTGATACAACACTGCACCTCTCCAGCCCCTGTCCTACCCCGGATTGTCACCACCCGTCCTTAAATAGCTCCGGCACTTGATTCCAGAGGCCTCTCGGCATTCACAAATTCCCACCTCGCAGAGAGAAGGGTGTGTGCAGGGCAAGGTGAGGAGAGGGCGGGTAACAAAAATTACTCTAGGCAGGAGGGCATAGCCTTTTATTAGATAGGCACTATACAGACGCATGCCGCGTCCATCGCGGAGCAGTTACGGTGAACCAGAGATCACCCAGCCACTGCTCCGAGGTGAACACGCCAGCACAGGCGTTTCTCCTCAGCTAGGATCCAACTCCAGGCTTGATTTTCCCTCCCGACTAACCTGTACTTCCACAGTAACACTAGGGCATTCTTTCTAAAATTAGGCCGTCGTTTTCCTTTCCTTTTGAAGAATGAGTTTAGAGACCCCCACCCGCAACCAGGCTTTTGCCTGCCAGGTTTTATTTCCCCTCGCCGCTGTTACCCTGGCACGCCGACACGGGGAATTGCTACCCCCGATCCCGCTAACGGCAAAGCCGCGTCCTCGCGTACATCCCCACGGCGAACAGGCGGTCCCGGAGGAAACCTGCATCACCGGGGGGGGGGGGTGTGTGTGTGAAACATGGCCGTGGAGGGAGGGGTTCCCCTGAGCGGCCGAACTCCCTCCGCATGGCTCTCCGGGGAGCCAAGCCGCCCCTTCCCGGGCGGCGGGGAGCGGAGTG